ATATCGCCGCCCACGTGACGCTCCTCGAGGCCTGCAAGGCTCCATTTTCCTTGGGACGAGCGTTTTTCGGCGAAGCTTGGTCAAAGGATGAAGAAGATGGCGTGAAAAGATCAAATTGCTCATGGTTAATCGACTAAAAATAATTGATTTCAAAGACTAAATCAATGAATAAGCGATTGAGGGGCTACATTGACAGTTGGTTAATAATTGAGGGACCAAATCGTTAATTAACCCTAATTGAAATATTAAGTATATATTGTTCTAAATAATCAAAAAAAGATTAATTAAACGAAAAAAAATTTAACCTAAATTTGTTTTTTAAAGAAATGAAAGAAAATGATTTTCAAGATTCCCGATTGAGTTAATTCCAGCAATGGTCCTCCGACTATGTTGATTTTCCACAATTGGTCCCTGACTTTTAATTTAGACAATTTAGACACTTGACTTTTGAAATCTTTCCAATGTTGGTCCTTTCGTTAGATGAAAGTTAAGTAAATGTTAGTTTGAGGGGTAAAGCAGTCATTTCACCAACTTATATATAATCCATCGTCTTTCAATTCTCAGCTTGCGAACTTCAACCAAGATTTAAGGAACATGTTGGACCGCCAACTAAGCGAAGCCACTGATGGCTGTCCATTTCTCAAGTTTGCACTAAAATACAAGTGCACCAGATTTCAACACCATATATACACTAGTGCAGTGCACACCTAATTTGTCTGCTCAAGGCTGTAGCGATTGAATGTCTGCTGCTCATTGTGTTGACAAGGAAGGTAGTGGCCATAGTGTTAACTCGTAGCTGCGCTGCAATTTTGTAGTATTAACAAAAAGGCAGAAACTATCAGTGGTAAGATGATTGTTGATTTCCCTTCCCTGGTAAGATGGTGTCATTTTTTGTTTACATGTTTGAGTTTGATTGACACCCATGTGACTTTTTACGCTGGTGATCCACATGCATTTGCATCAACTGTCAGTGGATTATTGGGAAAGGAAACCTTTGAATTAAAGCTTTATGCTCATCTTTGTGTATTTAGTGTAACATGGCTCAATTACCCATGCTTCACTTTACCATGACTTGCCCCCTAAAGTACCTATGTTGCATATGCGCAGCTTCTCCTGGATCCTCCCAAATAAACAAAAGGCAGAAACAGAAGGCCAAGAGGATATGAAGAGGAAGATGATAATATACTGCATCTTTGATCTTTCTGTTCTGTTACATAATCTAGCTTTTCAAAAAAAAAAAAAAAAAAAAAGCTATGGAAGAAACAAGTTCTCTCTGCACGTCCTTCATATTCAACTAACTTCTCAGCATTTTCATCTGCTCGAAAAACCAATTCCACTGCACAATCGAATAAACCTGGCAGCATTCCGTTTCATATCCGGTCGAAACCATGGCGCCGGCCATCATCTTCATTCTCCTCACCACATCCTCTGGGTATTCCTCATCGTCTCATCGTCTTCTAAGAACGCTATCGCCAGATGCAAGACGGTGCTGGTTCGGTTCAGCGAGGGTGTGAGGTCTAGAAACTTCGCGAATCCATCCCTCAGCTTCGCCAACCTCTTAACTGCTTCCATCAAACGCGGAACATCATCTTCCATAGCCGTCCTGTTCCGACACTCTCCCGCGGAGGTGACCTTGGACTCAATTATGTCGGTCAACGACGTCGGGATTTCCGGCGGACTGAATTTGTTTGCAACGCCGGAAAGAATGGCAGCGAACCGATCAATGTCTTAAATAACAGATCAAAATTTTCATCACCAGCGATTGTATGCCTCGCTGCAGTTGTCATCGTCGTTGCCACTTTCTCCCATGGCATATAATTTTCTGGTAGAGAATGAATGAGGTATTATATCGCCTGCAACTACTACGCCTACTCGTAGTTTTCAACCCCACAAGGAGGACATTTGGGGATTTTAATTTGCTGATGTATGTGGCGAAGGGAGGAAGACGATACATGGATTATACTCTAAGCATGCTAAATGACTACTTTACCCCTCAAATTAACGTCTACTTAACTTTCATTTGACAGAAGGACCAACATTGGAAAGGTTTTAAAAGTTAAGTGTCTAAATTGTCCAAATTAAAAGTCAGAGACCAATTGTGGAAAGTTAACATAGTCGGAGGACCATTGTTGGAATTAACTCTATTTGACTACTATTAGTTTTTCGACTTAGTTTAACAATCAATATGAGCGTTTGATTAATTAACTTTTTGTAACAACTTATTGCTTCAAAATACTAAAATTCAAAAACCTACTCAAAGTACCTTTTTCGATCAGCTTTTTGAGAAAGTCATTTTCCATGTAATCAGCTCTCAGCTAACAACTAATTTACTGAAAACTTTTCTACAATCAACTAATGCTATCAATTCAACTACTCAAACTCACTAACCAAATCATCTAACAACTAATAATAACTATTTACCAAACACACCTTTTATGTAATTGCTAGTTGATTATTATTCATGATTTCTTTATAAAGTTTGTATTTGTTTTTGTTAATGAGAATGAGAGTCTTTTAATTAAGGGATACTTTGATGTGTTTTCATTCTGTTGTCTTGATTGTGACTTTGACCTCCACCCAAAATGTGCTTTGGATGAGAAAAATGCAGAGCCCACAGAAGAGGAAAGTCAGGATGAGGATGATGAGAAAATTAAACAATGGAGGATGGGGATGATGAGAAAATTTCGAAGCTCTCCCGTTTGAAATTTTTGTATGCCTCTATTAGTCCTCAGCTCTCTTCTTCAATTCCTCACTCAAGTCATGAATTCTTCTGCAAGGAACTGCTGCCAGCCATGGCATTTTCTCAAATGAAATTAAAGTAGCTGTGAAATGATATGATGCTTCCCCTTCATCTTTGTCAGATGAGATGAAAGAAAAGTAGCTTAGGTAAGAGAAATTAAGTCGTTTAACTAAGTATAAGTTTTTCATACTTAACCATAATTAACTTCGTTACAGGATCAACACAAATTACACACATACATGCATAAACAAACACAAGAAAATATATACTAAAATCTTTGAAACAAAAACAGTCGCAATCAACTAACCAAACATATGACACATCAAAATCTGAACAACAGATGCATCTACTTGACAAAAAAATATGATCATTCAGTGTATTATGTGAATGTAGATTATTCAAAACAAGAGGTAAAGTACCAACTAATTAATTGTATATTACCAACTAATGTAGCCTTATTGGGGTAGGAATCGGAATCGCCATTGACGCCACCACCGAGGATCTCACCTTCACCATCAGAAACTCCATCATCATCTTTGCTACGCCATCACCATCGCCGCTGCTCGCCGGAATAACATCATCATCAACCTCGCCGGTCAAGCGTATCCAACGATCTTCCAAAATTTGTCGTCTTCACTCCGGCCACCACGAGTAGACTCAGCCACCGTTGGTCTCCTTGTTGTTGCTGTTGTTCATCTCACGCCAACCACCTGCTGCTCATCACGCTGCCACTGGATCTCCTTGCTGCTGCCGTTGTTCACAGTCGCAACTATCACAGCTGCCACCGCCGGAGAAGACCTCCACTTCCGCTACTACCACCACCCCCACAGCCGCAACTGCCACAGCTTCCATCTTCGCCATGCTCCCACCTCCGTCACCTCCACTATCGATTCCCTGAAGCTGACGTCGCGGTGGACGGAATCCATCCATGTCGCTGACCCAATTTTTTTTTTTTTTTTTCGCCTTCATTTGGTCGTTGCACTGTATGGCCTTAGCCATGTCGTCAAAAGGAGGCAAATTATATTATGCACAGCGCGTCTTTTTTTTTTTAAATGAAAATTAACAGTGTTTATTTCCGGAGTTTCGCACCCTTTTGCAAAAAGTAACTCTGTTATTCAGTGTCATTTTGTATACACTGCAGTTTCAGTTGAACACAACTACAGTTTCATTTCGATATAACTATAGTTTCATTCGATATTTATAAACTCAAATATGTGAAAATGTTATTTAATTTTATTTTATATACACTATAGTTTTATTAAAACACAACTACATGATCATTTTGATATAATTGCAGCTTCATTGTACAATATACACTCAAATATGTGAAATGTTATTCAGTTTCAGTTTATATACACTGCAGTTTCATTTCACTATAACTACAGTATCATTTTGATATAACTGCAGTATCGATTTGGATATACTATAGTGTCAGTTGGTGTTTAATACACCAAACAAACGGACTCCGTTAACTCTAACGGCGGGCCGTTTCTTTACTTAAAGAAACGGCGCCGTATATGGGCCGCGGTGCATAATCGATTATGCACCGCGGTCTATAATATAACAACTGTCAAAAGGAGGTAGGATGAATTGACCCAATTGCCCCCTCTCAGACGAACATCTAACAAAAATATAAACGGAGGATCAAAATTATTCTCGTCAATAAATCTGTCCAAGATGTAGCAAATGTTTTTATAGAGGACTAAAATTGTTCAAGCAAAAATGAAATTCACTATATTTACTCCGTAATATATTTGTTTTTCATATACACATTTCGGAGACAAATAATCTAACAAATAAACGAAATAGTTATAAATATATTTATGTCTAATTGTACTATTTCTGTGCTGTATTTAGATTTATTTTGAGTAACAATATATTTCTTGCACACAAAAAGATAAAATCATTCGCCTCAAAAACTTTCACACTTAGTTCGATAAGATTGGAATGGTAACAATATATTTCTTCACAAGTCAATAATTTTAAGCCCTAATCATTTTACTGCACATAATTTAAGATTAGTCTATATACTTTTACTTACCTTGATAGTCTAAGTAAAATAAATTTCTAATAGTGTTTTCAATTTAGGGAAAAATTGAAAATTTTAAAAATATAATCAAGTCATTTTATTCTACCATATCTAGGGATCCTCAATTGAGATATTTCTCTTGCCAAGTCAACATCTCCAACTTAACTAGCTAAAAATTGCAAATTATATGTTGTTGTGTATGGACATTTGCATACATAAAAATAAAATACAATAAAAAAAAAAGTAAAAAATAAATGAAAGAGATAGATTTTTGTCCAACGGACATCGTGCGTTGCACGTGCAGTTTCAACCCTCCAAAATGTCCTCCTGAGAATTCACGTCTACCGGCCGACCAATTCAGGGTTCCCTGTAAGTTTTTATCTTGCTCATGAATAAAAATTCGATCTCGATTTTCATCTTCTTAGATTAAAATTTATACTTGATTGAATTGCATTGGCCTCGAGTAATCATTCTGTCGTGTTTAATCTTGCTTAACCGTTTGTTTGATTTGTAATTGGTTCCTTTTTGGTTTTTTTAATTTTCGTTTCCGGCGTTAGGGTTTATCTTGATTGTGGTAGATTCGCAGTTGTTCAGTGCAGCATTCCCTTGATGGCAATCAAACCCTTTGTTGGGGCCGCCATGGCTGCAACTTCAGAAGGTAAACCCCTCTCTTTGCTCACTGTTAGTAGAAATTTCACAATGTTCAGTTTTTCATTATTGATTTTATGTTTTCAAATTGGAGAAATGCAGAAGTAAATTTGCTTAAGAGTGGCTTAGATGCATAGGCAATGGGGTGAGGAAGGTGACACTTTTTATTTACTTACATAGAGAGGCTGCTCCATAGTTTTGTTTTCAATTGTGTTTTTATTCCGGTAAGTTGTAAAGCATGAAGATGGGCAAGTGGCTTTCTATATCTGAGAAGGAGGGGATAAAGAATAGTTGAATACCACTTTCTTGATCTATCAATGTCCAGGAAGTCCTGATATTCGCGGAGTTTTCTTATATATAATCCATTGCTTTTAGTCATCGTTATTGGTGTTGATAAATGACAGGATAACAAGGGATATATTCCTAATCTGTGTGTTCTGGCGTGTGGTTTATACCGTTTGTGCCAACTTGTCAAACATTAGAAAACCTCCCGAGTTGTCGAAAAGCCAAAGTGTCTGTGATGGGTGCTTAGAGCCAAATTGTATGGCAGGCATTCTTCTGTTAGCGTAGCGCCATAGCCTTGCTTTTGACCGAAAATACTATACACAAGAGGATATGTCTCTTTTGTGCCTTTCAACTTCACGAAATTTTGTTCTCTGGGAATAACTTTACACTCCACTTCTATCGTGGCATTGAATATAATCCTTCTTTGCACACGCCCCCCCTCCCTCCCGCACAGTTTCTTCCACATATAACGAGTAACATTTCTGAATTAAGTTTCATATAACTCATCATTTGCCACCACTTGGAAAAGGTGGTAGCAAAACTGAGGTCAAAGATGCAGCAACCTTCCATTTTCTCGAGGATGGAACTCCTATACTTCCATTAACAAGCTAGACAGTGTGGATTCGGACATAGATACAGAGAGGATTAGTATGGTCGGGATTCTAGCTTCCTCAGCGGATTGCATCCACACGATCAAATAGAAACCAATTGTATATATATTGTTTGTCGTATTTCTATGGTTTTGTTGTGTTTCATGTCGAATGTAGATTGTAGCTGTACAATGTATTCTAGTCTCTACTGTGATGTAGATATCTGCTGCTTCAACTTCTTTCATGTCTCTTAAACAAGAAATCTGTAAGGTTCCCCAGAACACATTTTTGTGGAAAATGACCATTGATGCTCATCTTTCAGCGGTTTAGCAACCGTTCTGATTCCCGATTTGACATGCAACCAATCATAATATGTCACGTTAAATAAGATTTTTTTTCGTTTACAGTTTTTTTTTTTGGGTTCTTGGAATATGCATATTTTAAGGGACCAATATGCAAAGAATACTCATTTGTCCAAACTTTAAAAAGAGTGACGCCATGGTTTCCACCAAGCGTTCAAGAAATTCCATCACACTATGGAAGGTTGGAAATGGCCAATGGGTTGGACAAATCGCATCATAATCTTTCCATTTTTAATTTCAAAAGTGATTTTTCTTTTCTGTCCACTTTGATAAGCTCAATGTGCAGTTAAAACTTCATGAAAAGCATACCATATTGGGTTAGACATCTTTAAGCCCGTACCATATTCAGACTAATTTTCGTTCATATTGGGTCAAGCCTAATTATGAGACAAAGTATTGATCAAATTGATTTTTCTATAAAAAGAGGTTTGAACTATCAACTTCTCTTAAGGATAAGAGTGCACGACCACTCACGTCAACCAAGCTGATTAAAAGCATAACATTAACATATTATATTCACTATTAACTTGCCACCGAAGACTCAATGCGTTTTGGGGAATGGCCTACTTGATGTTAACTACTAACTAGCCTTTAAAAATTACTAACTCAAACGATACACACAATTGACATTATCAATCCACTACCAACCTTTAGGGATTAACTCAAAAGATATTTGACATCTAGTCCTCTAGCCATATTTTGACTAGAGGGTTAATACAATTACATGATTAAGGGTCAAAGTTTATTAACGCAATTTGAGCTGAATTCGAATTAATCTACAGAGTGATATAAAAAAAATATTGATAAAAAAGTTAGCAGATTCTTTGTTAAGTCACTGTGATTTATATTATTTTAAATATTCTGTCTAGCCAGGGGTATAGAGAGCCCTTGGGATTAGGGTCAAAGTTTATCAGCACAACTCAAGCTGAATTCAAATTAATCTACAGAGTGATATTAAAAAACATTGATAAAAGTGATATTAAAAAAATATTGATAAAAAGGTTGACAGATTCTTTGTTGAGTCACCGTAATTATTCAAATATTCTGTCTAGCCAAGAGTATGGAAAACCCTTTAAGATTAGGGATTCAATCTTTAAAATACTGATATTATACTATTTGACAATAATCCTATACCAATTAATGATTTTATATATCATATTAAAATGTATGAGATTTCTTAAGATTTGATGCAAAAAACAGGAAGATAAATGTTATTTATGACCATAGGGATTTGATGACATAAAGGAAGGGGTGGCGTCTACGTGTCCAACTACCCATCAAAAGACACCAAACATCCCCCCGCCACGGAGTCGCTCCGACCTTCCACCGCTCTTTTTCTTGATTTAGTCTCTCCTTTTCGTTCACATTATTATTTTTGGGAACTCTTTTTCTCTCGTCAAAAAAACCCGCTCACCAAAAATCTCCGGTGAACTTTACTCGCCGTTGTCGAACTTCAACCGTCGCCGACTGCAATGGCGGCTCCGGAGGAGGACTGCTCCAACTGGCTCCTCGATCTGGGATTTGAAGACATTTCTGTGCCCGGCGCCCACTTCCCTTCTCTTCAACCGGGATTTCAATGGCCTCCTAATGCTTTCTCCGTTCCCGCCGCTCCTAGGTCTCTCCATCCTTATTTTTCCTCACCAATTTTAGTAATTCTTCTAAAATCTCACTGGAATTCGCTTCCAGGATTTTAGGTTTACGTAATCAGATGGTGTTGTTGTGAGGGATGGGAACCACACGTCTCACTATTTCTTTACGATAAGTGGAGTTTTTTTCTGGTTTGAAATGTCAATTTTTTTCCAAAGTTTGCATCTTTTTCTCTGGGAGATGATGGGTCAGGTGGGGGCTTCTTCTGAATTGGGTGTTTAATGTGGCCATAGCTATACAATACAACAAAATTTCAGATTTTTCTGTCATTTTTTGAGCGTTTTTCTGGAATAGGCTTCAGTGTTTGTACTTCTTAATTACTCTGTTTCCATTAATGTTAATGTTTATACTGTAAGAGACTATTTCTGCTGTATAGAAAGGGTAGTTATGTGAGGAGAAGTATTATAGGTGAATTTTTGACTCAGTTGGGTTATGGTGTTGTTGTTGATAAAGCTTTTGAGGTTTAAGGTTCATTGGTTTACTTTGTTCACACTGTTTCTGTTGCTATCTAAAGAGTTTTATATTGAGTTGTTGAATGTGTTTCTTTTGGTCTTTCTGGTCCTGATATCTGAATGAATGGCAATGGTTCTATGAAAACTTGGCTATTTAAAGTGCATCCACTACAGTGCTGTAAAGCCTGGATAATGAGTGATATATTTGTGCCTGTTTTCCCATTATGGGAATGAAAACGTATTGCATAGATGATGAATGTCATCACATAGATAAGACTTAGAGTCTCTGTCAATTGAAAGTTTATTTTGTATTAGACTTGAAGAAGTTATCCATCTTGCTTTGTTCATCCATATCTGAAGACGCTTTCTTTTGATGTTCCCACTTGACTCTTTATCTGGAAAAACACTAGAATGCATCCACTTTTCCCCTTTGCCCTTTTTTACCGAACTTTTCCTTTCATTTTCTTCGTCAGGGAATGTTAGAATTTTATAAAGAAAGTTAACCTTGCATTATAATGATGATATTATGATATTGATTTGCCATGTTACAGTACTGGGCTTGATGTATCAGATGGCAATTCTGACCTTTTGAAGGAATGCAACTCCAAAAAGAGGTGATTATATGTTTTCTGGAATTTGTTTACCATTAGTATCTACTCTACTGTATCCAACTATCCAAAATGGTACTATGTAATATTGAAATCTAGATATTATCTTCTTCCCTTTCCTTTTATGTTTGTATATCTGTTTTTCATACTTTTATATATTTCAGGGCGAGATCAGAAGCTTGCAATGCACCTGATTCCAAAGCACACAGGGAGAAGATGCGCAGGGATAGGCTGAATGACCGGTATTCCTCTCTCCCTTTGTCTCTCAGAGTGTGCATTCTCGCTCATATATTACTGTACTTATTAAATAAGCACATCACTGTGGGTCATTTTTCATGTTTATAAATGGATATGTTATGGATGATCTATTATATGTTAAGATTCCAAGAATTGAGTTCTGTCCTGGATCCTGGCAAGCCACCAAAAATGGACAAATCAGCCATATTGAGCGATGCTGTTCGAATGGTAGTTCAGCTGAGGGATGAAGCTCAGAAGCTGAAAAAGTCGTTTGACGATTTACAGGAGAAGGTTAATGAACTAAAGGTGCTGCTTTTTCTTCATTTCTTACCCTGAAAAAATCTCCCGTTTTAGGATTCTAAGTTCTCTCTCCATGCTGCACATTTCGGTTCTTTGGTTTTGTAACGGATAGTCTTTGCTTTCTGCAGGCTGAGAAAAACGAACTTAGGGATGAGAAACAAAAGTTAAAAACTGAGAAGGACAAACTCGAGCAGCAACTAAAATCCTTAAACTCTCAACCCAGTTTCCTACCTCACCCTCCTGCAATTCCCGCTCCATTTGCAGCTCCTCACCAAGTCGTTGGCAGCAAGCTGGTGCCATTCGTCGGCTATCCCGGAATTCCCATGTGGCAATTCGCACCTGCTGCCGCTGTTGATACATCAGAAGACCACGCCCTCCGCCCCCCAGTTGCTTAATTTTGTGGCGGCCTAGAACTCCTAAACCGAGGAAATGAAATGACTGAATTTTTACTGAACAATCTTGCTGATGCTTCCTATAAACTATGGCGGGTAGATGAAGTAAATGACAGGTGATAACCATCACAAGGAAGGCAACATCTTCCATTTTTTATAAACAAGAAACTTGTAGAGAGTGGTCAAGGAGTAAGCTCAATGATTCTGTTGTTTCAATATATGAGCACATCAAATAAGTACTCTGTATCTATATAAACCTTACTCTTGGTTGTTAGACTTTTATAACCCCTCTATCTTTTGTTTATGTTTGGATTATCACCATGGTTAGTGGTTAATGGTTAATTTGCTATAGTTGTATGATTAGTGATCGTATTAACAATTAATACCATTTATTTCAAGCTCTAATGTACTGTACATGCCCATTGATGCCAAGAACAGTATGCAATTTTGTTGCGTGACAAGGAAAACTTGCAACCACTACTTGAAGATGTGTATTGGTTACATTTTGCGTTGTAATTCTAGTAAGGTAAACCAACTTAAGTTGTTCATAACTGATCAGTTTATTAAACCAAAAAGACCAAATCACTCCCATTAAGAGTCGAATTTAGAATTGTGGTTATTAAGCAACAACTTGATTATTTCGAACCATGTCTTGGCTAGTTGTAAAAATGATGTCTTGCCAATTAAACCCCATTTTGTAGGTTGAAATGATAAGTTGAAAACTTGTAACTCAAAAAGTTAAAAATAAACATCCATGAAAACACATTAATAAATATGATTTCATCATTCTTTGCACCAACCATGTGGCTGTAGTTTAGTGGTGAGAATTCCACGTTGTGGCCGTGGAGACCTGGGCTCGAATACCAGCAGCCACAAATTGGGATTATTTTTGCATTGTAGGCTTTTCCTATAAGCTATGAATTTTTAATCAACTATGCCGGGTAGATGAAGTAATTGACAGGTGATAACCATCACAAGGCAATATCTTCCATTTTTTTTTTATAAACAAGATATTAAACTTGTAAAGTTGTCAAGGAAGAACGCCCAATGATCATGTTTCAATAGATGAGCACATTAAATAAGCATTTGTATAGTATATGTATTATGTATAAACCTTGCTCTTGATTGTTAGACTTCTATAACCAGTCTGTCTTTTGTTTATGCTTGGATTATCACTATTGTTATTGGTTTACTAGAGTTGTATGATTACAAATTGGGATTATTTTTGCATTGTAGGCTTTTCCTATAAGCTATGAATTTTTAATCAACTATGCCGGGTAGATGAAGTAATTGACAGGTGATAACCATCACAAGGCAATATCTTCCATTTTTTTTTTATAAACAAGATATTAAACTTGTAAAGTTGTCAAGGAAGAACGCCCAATGATCATGTTTCAATAGATGAGCACATTAAATAAGCATTTGTATAGTATATGTATTATGTATAAACCTTGCTCTTGATTGTTAGACTTCTATAACCAGTCTGTCTTTTGTTTATGCTTGGATTATCACTATTGTTATTGGTTTACTAGAGTTGTATGATTAGTCATTGTATTAACAATTAATATCATTTGATTTAAGTTCCCGTGTTTACTGTTGTTGGTCTCGGGCAAGCAGAAACTCTAGAATAGAAAGGAGGTGGAAGTTGAATAGACTTTCTAACATTTTTTTACAAACTTTTCAAAATAGCTCAAGCAAGCTTGGCTTTTGAAATCAAAATTTTTGAACAAAGCTTGGAAACAAGTTTCCTCGTAGCGGAATTATTTAGATTACTGTGAAAATAATATAAGTAGCTAAGTTTTAAATGGATGGCGTTGTTAAGTGTGTGCCAAGTATAAGGTTAGTTCGCAGGTTAATTATAAGTAAGAAATGCGTAAAGTAAACGACACAAGTATTTTTATAGTGGTTCGGAAACTTTCATACTCCAATTTTCTCCTTAACTCAAGAAGGTTCCACTAAGTATTGTTTCGAATACAAAGTGATAAGAAGTCTCAACTTCTACCAGTGATAGTCCTTCAAATAGGGGTCAGCCACAAAGTTTCCCTACTATTCATTATCCAATCAAAGCTAGCCAAGGGTCGTCCACTTAGTTGCCTTGCTAAGTTGATCTCACAACTCCTTCCGGTGGAAAGACGGTTGTTGGTTTGTTGAGTGCTGTGGACTTGGAAATCCTTCAGATTTCACTTCAGCTTAAGAGAGCTTGATTCAGCTTGATCGCTTTGAACACTTGCACTTAGAGTTTTTACCACACCAACATCTTCTCTCTTAGTTTGAGGTCCTCGTTTTATAGATGAGGAAGGATGAGCACCAACTTTAATTTTGAATGTTCCCGTTGTCACTCAGCAAGTGGTAGCCGTCCAAAAGCTGCCAACTAGAAAGATTTCTCAAGACTTCTTTTGGTCTTGGACTCCTAGCGAACCCCTTAGCTTCCTTCTAGCCTGATTTCTTCCGCTTGCTTCCTTCCTTCCGAATCATTTCCTTTCAGTTTAGTCTAATTGCGAAGCTTATCTGATTTAACAACAAAGAATGAGGAGTATAAAGTGCTTATACATTACTCTTTATATCATCAAAATTTATTACAAATATTCCTAACAACTGTACATGCCCATTGATGCCAAAAACAATATTTAAATTTTTAACCAAGTCTTGGCTAGTTGCAAAAAATGATGTCTTGCCATTTAAACCCTATTTTGTAACACTTTCAAATGATAAGTTGAAAACTTGAAACCCAATAAAATGATAAGAGTTAATTCTGGATTTAGTCTTCTAACTATCACACATTAACAAGGGTAAAATTACCCTCAATGTTAAAGCACTAATTTCTTTATTCTATCAGTTCTAATTTTACCCTCAATGTTAATAGGAAAAAGTTTGTCGTGAATTACAATTAAAAATGATTCAATACTCCAATACTAAATTTAATAGCTTTAAAAGTCAAGGAATAAAATTAAAAGTGAGTGATAGTCAGAGGATTAAATTCAGCATTAACTCAAACAATAATTATCATGGAGACAGATTTATATAATTAGAATTGTTTCCGTCAATTTCTCAACCTTGTGGCTGTAGTTTAGTGGTAAGAATTCCACGTTGTGGCCGTGGAGACCTGGGCTCGAATCCCAGCAGCCACACTCTAACGTATTCAACATTTTTTAGGGTCCGACGGATCAATCAATCTGATGCATAAACCTCATCTTGGATCAAGCTCTGGACTGCCTCATTCACCATTTTCTCTGGTCTTCCACTACACAAAAATGCAGGTTGAAGAGCATTAAGTTAATTAAAAGGGATAACAACATTAATGATTTTGCAGAGGTTAGAAGGTTCTATCATGGATTTTATTCTTCCCAAACTATAATTCTATCATGGATTTTATACTCATTCCCCTGGGTGTTTCGGGATTCGGTTTAGTTTTGAAATTTCAGTATTAAAAAAAATGATACCATTTGGTTTAAAATTATAGTTCCGTTAAGTTTCAATTCGATTTGAAAAAGTTCATTTTCGGTTCAATTTAAGAATCCAAATTTTCAACATTTTCTAATTTTTCAAACAATATATATTTTTATAGTTCAAATCCAAAGTCTAAACATTATATAACAAAATAGCAATTCAAAGTTCAAACACACTACTAAGTACTAATTACCAAACACCAGTTGACTTTTTTTGCCCAACCGACTCTTCAAGTGGTTCACTTGGAATGTTTTATTGACAAGATGAGAAATCTTCCATTTGTATAGTTAATATTTGGAGAATAATTGTCAAATATTGATAGTTAATTTATGGACACAATCTGTCATTGTTTGGCAAAATATATTCTAGTGCATTGGAATATTATTTTCCAATATATTTTCAGTTCTTGGAAGCACTGGAAAAATATTTCTAATTAAACACGGGAAATCAAAATTAGAATGATGTTGAAACACATTAATTTCATAAAACAATGAAACTAAGGAAAATATTAAATAACTCAAGTTAGAGATAATTATGAGGCAAAGAACAATTAGGGTAAACAACAAAAGCTAAAAGTAGAGAACAAGTCATCAAGAAATCAAATAAAATATT